TTTATAAACTTATGTTAGAATTAAATTTATATTAAATATGTAACATAAATTAATAATAATTTATATTAAACTATATGGTTATATGTAAATTAAATTTAAATTAAAAATCAAATTTAAAATTTGAAAAACATTTAAATTTAAAATTATCATATTTTTATGAATGTAAATTCTTATAATTATGAGATTTAAATTTGTTTTGCATGTGAGATTTTAAAATAATTATTTTACTTAATTATATAAGTTTTATGTTTCATAGTTTTTTTTAGTTTAATTTTTTGTCTCATACTTTGAATTATAACATTATTATTATGTTAATTTTATTAAATTTCAATAATATTTATTATTTATTACGTCAGCCGGTTCGATTCCGGTTCATTGTCCGGTCCGATTTTCTGAACCTTGCTAAAAAGCAACTTTAAGAAGCAATAAAAAGGTCGTCCCAACTCCCAAACAATGCATCAGTTGGTTAGTTTTGTTTTTTGCATCTTTGCAGCTCAGAACATGCATAATTCTCTTTTTTCATAAATTTTTCTTTAGTTAAAATCTTATCATGTGTTATCTTGATTAAAATTTAATCTCGAAGCTATTGCTGGCCTCACGTAGTGAGAGAATAAAACAGCCATAACTCGACTTCTTTTCTTCATAAATTTATCTTTAGTTAATATCTCATCATGTGTTCTCTTGATCCATATATGGCTTGATTAAAATTTTAATCTCGGATCTATTGCTGATCTCACGTAATGGGACAAAAGCGTGTTGTTGTTTTTGATCTATTGCATTGAATATGATATATCTCTTTTTTTTTTATTCTTTTCACAAAACTTAAATAAATTATTAAAAATTATAGATTTTGTTTTGTTTAGTTAGATTTGCATGTACATCAATGGAATTCAACACTTTGGTGCATCTTTGGTTTTACATTGGGATATTGACAAAATAATATTACTATACTCCCTAAAAAAGAATCTAATCAAAAAATTATATGAGGTTCACTATTCTAGAAGACCCAATCAAAATATATGTTTGATTGAGATATGTTTTTATTGCTTTGCCTAATCAAATGATGATATAGCAGATGTTTTTGTTGCTTGGCCAAAATTTTCCTTCATGTTTGTTTTCCTCATGATATTTTCCTTAATAAGGCTCTCTGTTATGGTTTTTGATTGGTTAATCATTTATGTTGATGAATGTTCAATAAAGATATAGCAGTACACTTCCATTGAACAAAACTAGAAGTATCATAAACTATATATTGAATCTCTGTCGCTTTGGTTTAAAAGAGCAAAAAACAGTGATCGTTGTATGATTGCCCTTAGGAGAGAAACGTCTGTCAACACTGCCTTGGACATCAGCATAGCTCTCACTAGTGACAAAGCTTGCACTTGATATAAGCAAAATAACGTCAAGTCGAGAAAATAGAAAACACAAACTTGTTGTTAGATAGAGAGTATGTATTTATAGTTATGACAAGATTTCAAGACAACTTGATTGATGCAGGCAGCGGAGAGCTGGAGTGAAGCAGATGCGTTCTTCACAAGAGCTTCATGAAAATAACATTGACTGATGGAGGATCAAAAACTTCAAATTATGCACAAGTATAGTCAAACCGAGCGGCCGGCTCGATGAGATGAATTCAATAAGTTTAGGATTACTAGATTCTAAAGTTATTAAGACACTTAAATAATGTCAATGAATAATTTATGATAAATAAAAGTAACATTAACCGTTCAATAGCATTGAAAAAATTTAGCCAATTATCTAAATATTACACTGAAAATAGTATTAATAAATCTTCATTTACACATGAAAGAGACCTATACTTGAATTTAATAAGAACTTGAAGATTTGTAAAATTTTACTTGAATTTATACACCATCAATCATCGCTAGCCACCCCCGTTGAAAAGCTAAGGCGCCAAAAAATTTCTAGCAAGCAACATATCTAGAAAATGCAACTTGAGAAATTCTTCATCCTTGGAAGAATTGCACCGGTTCAAATGACTGGTGATACAAAAATGTATGAAGAATGCGTCATTTTTCATGAACATATAGGCGGTAGCAACAAAAATTAACTAGGAACCATAGTAGCGTCCTAAGTATGGGGAGTATAATTTGATGAGAAATAGAAGGATTTCCTAAGATAAAACTGACGAGCTTGTTTTTTGTTAGATATATAGCAGTGCTAGCCAAATAAAAAATGAAACGGTTCGAATCCGACAAAAAAGTTTAGATAGTTCAGTCATCAGTTATAATGCTATCTAATTTGCACAACTTAAGCATTATGTTACAGACATTTAGTAACTTTTTCGATACATTGGTTTAGCAGAGAAAACATTAGTTAACACAGTCTTGGAGATCAACGTGGCACCCAACAATGATAGAATCTGCATTTTGAATAAAAAAGGAAGTTGATCAGAAGAGCAAAGATTGCATAAATACCCAGAAGAAAATAGTTTTCCTTGGCTTTATCAATGCTAACTTCCTTCTTAACAGGATCATAAATTAGAAAGTCTATTCCTTTAGTTATGGCAGAAATGGAGGAAATTGGAGAAATTTGAAGGTTGTCAGAAACCATAAATCTTCTTTCATCTTCCACAAAACCTCTACCAGAATCACTCTCTCTATTTTTTAACTTAGGTGTTTTGTTCTATGATTTCTATCTCTCTTAATCCATGCTTGCTTGGTGGAGTCATACGAGATTTTGATTTATTATCAAAATTACATTTTACGCAGTTAAATGAAATGACCCCCTCATTTGATGACATTTCATCCAATTGTAGCATTTGGTCACTACATCCATAGTAGGAAACAATTTCCGAAAGCACCAACATATTTTTGCATTTTTCTGACTCAAAACATTCTAAGTTTAATCTTTTTATTGTGGAATACAAATTGCTAATGCAACTTTCTAAAGATATTTGATCGCCTAGAAGCATGAACATGAAACTTAGAGGAAATGTGAGAAAATTCAACAACTGATTGACAAAATCTCCCTCAACTTTCACATATAAAACATTATTGTTTTTTTTTGTTAAATATAATATTCACATTCATTCGATGTTCTTCTTCACCATCATCAATATCCTTTTTAATAATTGAAAAGCACTTCACACTATTCTATGCACTCATCAGGGAAGAAAAATATTATCAAAGCATGCTTGGATACCAATGATATCGTCAGCAAGTTCAAATCCTGAATATATATATATATATATATAATTTCAGCAATTGCATGTTAAACTAAATTTCATTTGTTTTTCAAGAATTTATCAATAAATTACCTCATCATTGCTAATATTTATAACCATTTCCTCTAAAATGTCTGCATCTTTAATTCGCAGCTCCTCTAGCAGAGAGAAACTACTTATCAAATAAATTGACATCATCCGTAAATTATCAGTTACAATAAAATCAGCTCTATCATTAACAAAGACCCCTCCTTTTTCTATTGTGCCTTTTGACCAACTTCAATTTTTATCCATCAGTCTTCCACACGACTGTATCGAGCCTTAGTTACATAGGTATAGTAACACGAGGATTGAATTAAACACACTTTCATTGCAAATATAGAAATGTCTTGGATTGACATCATGATTATTTTTAATCTTCAAGTCATTACATATTGTTACAGCCGCACTTCGAGGTTCACATATTGTTACAGCCGCACTTTGAGGTTTAAGAAGCATTTTTTTGCATGCCTCGGTTTGTAAGTGCTTGACATCAATCTGCTCAATGCTCTTATAAAGGTTTTAAAGAGATCCGAAACTCATCTACTTGCCTAAAATTTGGACAATGCTTCCTAGTGGTAGAGTAAGGAAGCTAAACATGACATTAATAAAATCGCTTCATGCTTCGACAAACACAACTCGCTTTTGCTCTTAATCAACAAAAGCGGGCTGTGTTTGTGGAAGCTGGAAGCGATTTCATTGATGTCTTGTTTAGCTTCCTTCCTCTTTCGCTATGAAGCATCGTCTGACTTTAGGGGAAATAGACAGGTTTAAGATCTCTCGTAGCCTTTATAAGATTGTTTAGCAGCTTGAAGCCAAGTACCTACATACCGATGCATTGCAGGACATGCGTCTCAAACTTCGAAACGCGGTTGCAAAAATATGCGAGAACGTGAAGATTAAAAATATTCATGATGTCAATCCAAGAACTTCGTACATTTGCAATAAAAATGCTTGCTTAACTCAATCAAAATGTTATTTTAGCTATTTAAAAGAGGATAGATGCAGTCGTTGTGGCGGACTGATAGATAAGAATTGATTTTGGTTAAAAGATACAACAGAAGAAAAGGATCTTTGGTAATGACGATGCAAATTTTATTATAATTAACGAATTACGAGAGATGCGAATTTCTTTGAAGAGTGCTTTCTCCGTAGTTGAGGAACTGCGAATTAATGATGTCTATACCATAAAGGAAATGATTGTAGAAGCTGGCACTAAAGAGGTAACTTACTATTACGTGCTAGAAAAACTATTGAAAAGTAAATTAACATGCAATTGTTGCAATCTTTCAATTCTGTCTTTTTTTTTTTGGCAGACTTTGAACTTAGTGAGGAGGTCATTAGTATCCAAACGTGCACTTACAGTGGTTTTCATCCCCAATGCATGCGTAGAACCAAGCGTGAAGTGTTTTCCAGTGATCAAAGAGGAGATCCAGACAGCGAATCTGAACAAAAATTTAATGTGAAAATCATATTAATTAAGAAAAATAAAATGTTTTATACACCGAAGTTAGGGAAGATTTTCTCAATCAGTTGCCGAGTTTTCTCGCATTTCCTTTTGTGTATGTATTCAGGCTACTCGGGAATCATACGTTACAAAACGGTTGCATTAACAATTTGTATTCCTCGGCTATAAGCTTAGGCCTAGAATCTTTTCAGTTAGAAGAATGCAAAATCGTGTTGGTATTTCCAAAACTTGCTTCCCACTATGGATGTGAAACCAAATGTTGAAATTGGTTGAAATGAAATCAACTAGTTTGACGGGCTGCATAAAGTGCTTTAAAGAGATTGGAGATGAAAATTATCTGCCGATTTGGTGCAATCATGGATTAAGACATGCAAAAATAACAAAACAAAACCTCAAATTGCGAGATGGAGAGAGTGATTTTGGTGAAGGTTTTGTGGAAGACTCAAAAAGGTTTATGGTTGCTGATAACCTTCACATATCTCCCATATCAGCCATTTCCGCCATAACAAGCAAGGACTCTTTCTTTTCTCTCCCTAGTCATAGAAGCGGAGAAGATGCCACTATATATAAAATATTGCACATGCTTTTATTATTAGATTGTCTTAAGGTTGATGATTGAAAAATTATTTTTTTTCTAGAATTCGAACCATTTCATTTTGGTATGTATGATTGAACTCTGCATTCCAAAATAAAGACAGCTGATCATAATTAGTATCAATTAAAAAAATGAATATGAAAAAAAAAAACAACTAATGAAACAAAAAAATGGGGTTTATTATGGCTTTATAAATACAGACATTTTTCTCAACAAGATAAAAAATGGCAAATTCATTTGGTTTATGATAGTGGAGATGAATGATAAAGGAGAAATTCACATAATAGTATACATTTCCTTGCTCACAAGAATGTGCATGTCATTGATTTCTCACTGTAGAATTTATTATTAATGCAGTTGAGTTTCCGTTTACTATTGCTAATCGATTGAAACATGAGAGAAGCAGAGCAAAAACAAATTTTGAGAAAGAAATTTGCAAATGAATGTGAGTTGAAGTTTTAATTATGTCTGACGTTTGTTATAGCGCAGCGAAGCACAATAAACGCTCACTAGAAGTGCAGTAAATGCAGTGACTATGCAGTAAAAACACAAAAAAGAGGCAAAATAACTTGTAAATTTGAAAAATATGCAGCCTAACTTGTTAGATGATGATTTTTTGCACAGTCTGGAATGCCGAAGGATTGCACCTATTTGTAGTGAATGTCTTGTTTTTAGATGACGAGGAATACAAATTGTAGATGCAACCGTCTTATGACATATGATCCCCGAGTAGCTTGAATACAGACTCTAAAGGAAATGTGAGAAAACTCCATAACTAATTGAGAAAGTCTCCCACAACTTCGGAATATAAAACATTGTTGTTTTTCTTATAAAGGCTATCAAGAGATCCCAAATCTGTCTGCTTCCCTAAAAGCCGGATGATGCTTCCCAGTGGAAGAGTAAGAAAGCTAAACAGGACATCAATGAAATCGCTTCCAGCTTCGACAAACACAACCCGCTTTTGCTCTTTACAGTTAGAACTTTATACTTATCTCAGGTTTGGCGTAATGGGAAGGTCTGTTCTGTGCTGCAGTTTTATTGCTCTTGCCTCACACATATAACAGAGAAGCCTAAGGCTGATGGGTTTCCGTGCAAAAGAGTTTAGGGTTTTGCGGGAAATCGTTATAACAGGTGGGTCATAAATGGAAAGACACTTTAACCGTCACCTTAACCTTTGGGATCTCGCATCCTCCATTCAAAATGCTATTTGTAAGTTAAAACTTTTACACTATTTGTAAGTCTAATATCACTGATTTCCTCAAAATCTTTTACTGGTCCAACGCTAAATCTAGAAAGAGAGAATAGGCAAAAGGAAGAACACTCCTTCAACGAGCACCCTTATCTGTTTCCCACTGGTAGTTGATCGAGTGATGAGAAGAAGAAGAAGAAGAGCTCCAACTACGACTTCAAGATCCTCTACAACAGCAGCTCTTCTATGAAAACCACAACAAGAAACCCCCTCTCCTGGTTTCTTCTCGTCTGCCTCCAATGCTCAAACTAAAACAGCCCAGCTTACGATATCTTCCTCTTCTTGTAGAGCCTCTTGCAACCGTTTTTCTTTTCTTTCCCTTCTTTCCGCACTGTGCCCGATTCAGCTGCTGGTAAGCGGTAAAGATGCAGAGTAATAATTTGAAAGGATAAATTTAAAAGAAAAAAAAGTGCTAATGCTAAATTAAAATAAGTAATCCTATTCCTTATATTTTAACAACATATCTATGCTACTTCTATAAAAGAGGCTTGAGTTTCTTTCCCCGACAAATCTTAGCCATCCATTTTACTTCTTCTTAAATTATCTTGGCCATCAATTATATTATAACTAAAATAAATAAAAAAACACTTATATAATTTAATTATCTTTCTCTCAAATTAAATATTACTATTCATTTAAGACTCTCCCATTACAACAACAACAACAACAACAACATCAAGCCTTTATCCCACTACGTGGGGTCGGCTACATGAATCCTTTTTCTCCATTGTGTCCTATTAAAAGCCAAATTCTCGTTTAAATCTAATAAAGAAAGGTCATTCCTAATATTTTCTAACCAAGTCTTTTTAGGTCTACCCCTACCTTTCTTAACACAAGTCAAATCTAATACCTCTACTCTCTTAACTGGGTCGTCGGAAGGCCGCCTTTTTATGTGACCAAACCATCTAAGGCGACTCTCTCTAATCTTATCTTCTACTGGAGCTACTCCAACCTTTTCACGTATATGCTCATTTCGTATCCTATCTCTAAGGGTAAAGCCACTCATCCATCTAAGCATCCTCATCTCTGCCACACTTAACTTAGTATTATGCTTCTCTTTTAATGGCCAACATTCGGCACCATAAAGCATTGCAGGCCTCACTACCATCTTATAGAATTTTCCCTTAAGTTTGAGGGGTACATTTCTATCACATAACAAGCCCGATGCATTCCGCCACTTCAACCATCCAACTTGAATTCTGCTGATAATATCCCCATCTATTTCACCATCACTCTGAACAATAGATCCAAGATACCTAAAACGTGTACTCTTATTAATGACTTGATCGCCCAAAGTCACAATCCCCTCACTAGGACTATTACAGCTAAAATTACACTCCATATATTCCGTTTTAGATCTACTCAAGCGAAAACCTTTAGACTCTAAGGTTGACCTCCATAATTCAAGTTTACCTTCAACTCCCTCTCTAGTCTTATCAACAAGAAGAATATCATCAGCAAAAAGCATACACCAAGGTACATCATCTTGCAAATGTCTAGTGAGAACATCCAAGACTAAAGCAAAAAGATATGGGCTTAAGGCTGATCCTTGATGTAACCCAACCGAAATAGGGAAATACTTGGTCAAACCACCTTGTGTTTGAACACAAGTAATAGCTCCTACATACATATCTAAAATAAAAGCCGCTTGAATTTTCTTACACAGTAAGTCTTGACATCCGTTTTATTTCTTCTAAAAATATTTTTCCCTTTAATTATATTATAAATAATTAATAATTTTAAAAATATTAAATTATTATACAATTTAATGCTCATTATCGTAAATTAATGCTGCTTAAATTCCTTTCCTCAACTAAATAATTTTTTTTTTTATTCTCAAATACCCACATCAATTTTCCTCCCTCAAATTTCATTTAAAAGAAATCTGTAACGTCCATTTCAGGACTCTTCGGATTTCTTTCCTCCAAATCATTTATTTCTTTTCACAGTCGAACTTGATGGCGTTGCTTCATCGTTGATGTCACTGTCGAACGTTTCTTCTTCTTCACATCCGAACATTTCTTTCTCTTCACAGTCAAACGGTTTCTTCAGCATTCTTTCATCGGAGTGTTTCTTTTCTCCAAAACATTTTCACTGTGAAGCAGTTATACATGCCAGTGTTCTCATGGCGTTGTTGTACGGCATGATCCAGTACTCGCTTGTGGTCTATGAGCTCTGCCTCTTCTACATCGTTGCTTATTTGGGTATTTATATTTATTTTTTTCTTTTGGCTTCTAGATCAAAGTTGGTATCTTTCATACCTTTTCTAACGATGGAAACAACACTCGCTCGTGGCCAACGAACTCGGCCTCTTCTACACCGTCACTTATTTGGGTATTTATTTATTTTTTCTTATGGCTTCAAGATCAAAGTTGGTATCTTTAATACCTTTTCTAACGATTTATGCTTTGTTCCTGCAAAGGTATTAACTTTCTGGCATTGCTTGGGCTCATCTTTGCTCTGCATCATTTGTTATCAATATGCTTCTTCGTGAGATCCTCTTGGTGCTCGATGATATTCCCCAAAGTTTTTTTTGTTTTATAATGTAGCTTGAAATAACTCAATAAGTTAATTGGTGATTTGCTTTTGGTAGTTTTTGTTTGAATTAGCCTCAAGTTATAATTTCATCAAATTGGATTTAGTCTTTGAATAAGTCAAATTGTGTTTAGATGAGGGATGAGCAAATGAGAAACAATCTTGTTCTCTGTTTACATATGATGTGAGTTATGTTGCATTGTTTCTATTGATTATGCTCATAAAGCTCTAATCTATGATGCACTGACACTCTGTTTTAAGGGGGTATGCAGTGTCGGACATGGACACGCGTCCGACAGGTGGGGATACGTGTCAGACACGTCATTGGTTTATTCATTTTTTTTAAAATAATAACCGGACACATGTGATCGGTTTATTGTGATCGGTTTATTTTTTGTTTAAATTAAAAAAAAAAAACACCACTGCTTCATATAACCCTTCATGCTCGACCGACGGCCTTTACCCTAATCTCGTAACCTGTATTTGCGGTCTTCCGGAGCGAGTGAGGCGAGCAATGGATGGAGCGATTTCCCGCGAGCAAGGAGTCTTCCCTTCCGGCCGTAAGCAACGGATCTTCCTCCTGTAAGCAACGAGTGCTACGTTTTTGCGTGCAGCGACTGCGAAGCTGACGCCAAATTGACTGCGGTAATAGTAGCAAACCTGTAAGTTTATTTCACCATTTTTTCTACCATTTGTTATTTATCTTCATTTATTAATGATTCCATGGATTTGTTCTTTTTTTACCTAAATCAAACACTAGGTTGTAATTTTCATTTTTAAAATCTGTAAATATCATGAGATTTCTAAAATCTGTAGATATAAAATCTGTGTTGAGATGTCTGAATTGAGAGATAGATTTCATTTCAATAGTTTTAGTAGATTAGTAGTTTTATTCTTCATTTTGTAAGGGGCTTAGTTTTCATGTTTCTTCTAAATAATACATGCTTATTGCTTTTGAGGTTGTGTGATGTATTACAGTGGTTGTGTGATGCCACTTAAAGAGGTTATTTTGGAAGTCTATAGGTTGCCTTGGCGGTGGGTGGTTTAACTTGGTATTTGATTTCATGTTGGTTGGTTTCTTGTAAAGTAGCAAAAGTAGCCTATGTTGTCACCCATATATGAAATTCCACTAGTGTAGGGAAAATAAGTGAAACCTAAGTCAAATACAAAGGCTAATGAAATCATATATGCTGGATGTCATTGGATAACAGTGGTCGTAGATGATGCTGTTACGATCAGAAATTTTATTATGAATCATTTGATGATACTTTCAATATTTAATGATTTCTCCCACTTGAGAATATTAGCTGTTGCTGAAACTCGTTTTACCTCTGTAATAATCATGTTGAGAAGATTCAAATAAATTAAAAATGCTCTTCAATCTATGATGATTAGTGAGAAGTGGTCTTGCTATCGAGAAGATGATGTTGGGAAGACAATGTATGTTAAAGAAAATGACTTAGAAGATTTATGGTGGGATAATGTAGATTACATTTTAGATGTGGGACTCTATGTTAGCAAAGTGAAAGAAATTGTATACAGACATGAAAGAAAGTCACATGAAGAAGACTCAAGTTTTTGGAGCGTTGTCTATATCATTCTTGAGGATAGGTGGAGCAAAAACAACACACCTCTGTATTGTTTGGCTCATTCATTAAATCAAAGGTACATTTGTATAAATCTTTTAAATTAATTTAAATTTCTTGATAAATGAACACATAATTTTATATGCTTTGTATTATTTGAAGGTATTCAAGTAAAGAATGGTTTCAAGAAGACCCTCAACGTGTCTCACCACAAAAAGATTTAAAAGTTTCAAATATGAGAAATATATGCTTGAAACGATATTTCCCAAATGATGAGGAGAGAAGAAAAATTAATATAGAACTTGCAAAGTTCTTTGGATATTTAGAGGATTTTGGTGATCAAGAATCTTTGGTTGATAGATGGAGGATGGATCCAAAAATGTGGCGGTTGATTCATGGAGCTTCAGCACCGCTTTTTCAAATCATAGCAATAAAACTTCTTGGTCAAGTATCATCTTTTTCCTTTGTGAGAGAAATTGGAACACATACTCATTTATTACATCAATGAAGAGGAATAAAATAATTTCACAATGGGCTGAAGATGTAGTTTATGTGCATATAAATATTCGTCTTCTATTAAGGAAAACCCCACTTTATATGACAGATGATAACAAGATGTGGATGTTGCTGGAGATGAGTTCGAGTGCCTTGATGATATGAGATTATTGGAGGTTGCAAATCTTTCTTTAGATGAACCAGAGTTGGAAGCAATGATATTCAATGATGATGATATTGAAGGTCAAAGACTAACCTCTGAATCTAATTCTATTATTCCCTCAATTGAGTAGTTTAACCTTCATGTTTTACTAAATAGTTTTTGCTTACATTTTTGTGGTTGTATTAAATATTTTGTATTAAACATCTTTATGCTATAAGCTAAATAAGTTATTATGACTTTGATTTATTATTTCTTGCCATTTTTAATATAATGTTACCTTAATTTCTTTATATTATATTAAAAAATTATTATGCCGTGTCCACGCCGCACCTGTGTCCTATATTTTTAAAAAATATCGTATCCCTTGTCGTGTCATGTTCGTGTCGCCGTGTCTGTGTTGGTGCATCATAGGCTCTAATTCTATGTTCATTATGTAGTCTGGGTTGATTTACACAGAAGATATAAACTTCATAAGAGGCTCGCCTTCGTGCGAACCCAACAGCGATGCCACTTCTTGCGCATATAGCAGCCATGTTCTGTCATTGCTCCCTCTCGCGTGAACTCGCAGCCGATCTCAGGAAAGGTCTGTAGTTGTACCTCTTTACTTCCTCATTTGTAATCGAGTAGCAATTAGATTTCGTCTGAGAGCTACTCCTTTCAAACTATGGTTCATCTGTATATCGACATCTGTTATTGGTTCTTATTTACCACTTGGAAATTGCTTCCCCTTTTTCTGTTGAATAAATCATATTGATTTTTTAAACTTGATGATTATTATTTTTATAGTTTATAGCATATGCAGAATGTTTTTTAGGTTAAAAAAAATCTTAAGTAGCTTCTTCTTTTTAAAAATTTTTAATGGGGTATTTTACATTCAATTTCTTTTTCTTCTTGAAATTTCTTGGGAGAAGCTTTGCTGCTATTTTGTTAGTTTTTTTTTTTGGTGATGGTGGATGAATATTGGTGCATTGAGGTTTGCAAAGTTTGTTTTTAGACCATCTTCAAAAAAAAGAAAAAAAAAAAAAACTTATTTTTCACTTCAAAATATAGTAACACTTAGAAATTCAATGACTCATCTTCCAACCGAACTCCATTTCTAACACCAAATAAGAATAGTCCATATTTTTTTTTCTCATCTCTATTTTAATTCTAAAAAATGCATTTTTTGAACTTCTCAAATATGCGTTTCTGTGAACAGTGCAACATCAATTATAATCAATATTGGCTTCGCACTGTTCACAGCGGATACAAAACGCGATAATGCGTTTGTGTTTTGGGTCAAGTTGGAGGGTCATGGAAACTGCAAAGGTCTGTTGCAGTTCGGTTTGAGATGGTCTTAGATGAGTTGTAATGAAAATTTATGAAGTTTATTTTGTTTTTAATAGAGGTGAGGATTTTGATTACATGACCAACGAGGGTGATATGACCAATGTGATGGATGATGAAATGTTTGGGGATTCCTTTTGAGAGAGAGATTGTTGAATTTCAGGATGATAATGAACTGTTCAGATTGCTTTCAGCATTGCTGCTTCATGCACTGTTGCTGGGTTTTCTCATTTCCTTTTGCATTTACTGATGCAACTCTCATTGCTTTAATCAGCTCACTAGGTGACAGATACATCCTCAGCACAAGCAAGGATATGGAAGGATATCCAAGGTATCCCATGGGAGAAATTGCATATAACTCGACAAAATCATAGAAAAACCCGAATAAGATAGTACAAAAATTATGAAAATGTTTCATCATCAGGGGATGAGATGAATAAGGTTCCTTTTGTTATCATTTATCATAATATTATTTGGAGGATGGCCATTTTTAACTTTTCATTGTGCAATATCGACGAAATTTCTCTTTGCAATTTTTCTTTTCATTTTTTGGTTTTTTTTAGAAATGCAAGCAACTGGAAATAGGTGGTAACTATTATTAGTTTCAATACAATACATGACTGTTGAAGCCCACAATTCTTCATTTCCAGGTTATTGATCTTTGACCTGATTTTCTTCATTCCATAGAACATAAAATGCTTATAATTCAAACTTTTACTTAGTGGCATAGACTATAAATTTATCTGTTGCTATATTTTTAGTTTCTAATTCCTAAAATTCAAATATTTGGATGGCCAAATCAGGTAATTTTTATTTGCTAAGAGTGGGAAATGATTTAGTGGTAATTTTTTTATTTTACTTGATTATTTTTTAATTTGAAAAGCATGGGAAAAATTTTCCAATTCCCATTATAGAGATGGTTAGATTTGGATTTGAATATCATTGTACATTTGGTGGCTCACCTGGCTTGAATATTTAAAAGTTCAAAACCAAATCAGTTTAAAACGATATTTGTGTTTACTTACATACTTAAACACGTTATATGTTTTGTACAGAGTTTACAAGTTTCATTTGGCATTTTAAATATATAAAATACTTAAACCAAAATAAAAGGGAAAACATGCATTCAATTTTCAATCATCTAAAATCAAATAAGCTATAGAATTATAATATCATTATTCTCGTGCTTGTGTAATTTTTTTGAGATTATAACCTATACTCTTTTTGAATGATACTCCTTTTAATAAAATAAAGAAAATAATTATATCTATAATTTCAAAAGCGCAATTCTAAATTTTTCGTGGGTTGGCTTTTGAATTAAGAAATTCGTTTGATTATTAAAAAAATTAATTAATTATCAATTTAATTGATTTATGGCGGAAGTTATACGTCTATGGTTCTCCATGACACCTTTATCTATTTATTTAGGTAACTAAAATTAATAAAATTGATTTTGTTAACTTAAAATTGCTATTCTATGTTGTTACTCATTCATAATTTTTATAATATTAATTTATTAAAAAATATATATTTTTGGCTTATTATTTTTGGTCAAAATAATTAAAAATTATATCACAAGTTATTATATTATGTATTTGTTTGTTATTTTTTATTTATCATTTCTCATTTTTATTATTTTATTATAACAGTTGCTTAAGTCATAATTACTTTCTCTCATTAATACTAAACGATCCGGCTTGAAATCTCTTAGAATAAGCTCAGTTGAAGCTCAAACTCGATTATTTAATCAAGCTCAACTCAACTCATTTACGCCCCATTCGCAATCTCATTAAGGTAATGATATTCCGGAAAAACTAAGAATTGTAATTGCCTCCTAATAGGTGTAAAAGTCAACAATAAATCACAAGTTTATGTATTTCCTAACGATAAATTACTGAGATGTATGTGCTTTTCTTTATTACAAAAAAGGGTGGCAACTGAAGTAATCTGTAAGCAGAGGAAAACAAATAGAAGAAGGAAGATACAGTGCAGGCAAAATGAAATTTCCTCAGCAATAGCTGTTTCAGTGAAACGTTTACATAAAGCACTACGGAATATTAGTTCGTTACATGAGAATAAAATGTGTTGGCTAGATAGTCTATTCTGGAGTGTGGCAAGCTGCAAAAATGATTCTACATATAGTGGCTTCTGCTCCGCTTCTTCTGCTTAGGAACGAAAACATCAGTTAAAACAGTATTCGATATCAGCATCACACCCAGCAAAGACAAAACCTACGTTCCGAATAAGAAGAAAGCAGCTGATCAAAATTGCAAACATTAAATGATATTATTAGAACACAAGTAATTGGTAAAACAGTGAAATAACAATTATATTTACCTTAGCCTTATCAACGATTATTTCCTTCTCAATAAAATCGGAAATGAGAAAGTCTATTCCTTTAGTTATTATGAGGGAAATGGATGATATGGGAGATATGTGAAGGTTATCAGCAATCATAAACCTTTTTGAGTCTTCCACAAAACTTCCACCAGAATCACTCCCTCCGTTTTGCAACTTGGGATTTTGTTCTATGAGTTCTGCCTTCCTTAATCCATGCTTGCACGGAGTAGGTTTAAAACAATACCACCCATCCGCATAGCACTTTATGCAGCTCGCCGAACAGGTCCACTTAGCTGATGGCATTTCAACCAATTTTATCATTTGCTTTTCGCATCCATAGTAGGAGGCAAGTTGTGGAAACACCAACATGTTTTTACATTCTTTTGACTTGAACCATTCTAAGCCCAAGCTCTCTGCCGAGGAATACAAATTGCTGATGCACCAATCTGATGATATGTGATCCCGGAGTAGTTCGATCACAGAGCCTAAAGGAAATGCGAGAAAACTCAACAACTGATTGAGGAAGTCTCCCCCAACTTCGGCAGATAAAACACTGTTGTTTTTCTTGTTTAATATCATCTTCACATTAAATTTATGTTCTGCTTCGTTGCCGTCAATATCTTCTTTAATCACTGGGAAGCACTTCACACTTTGTTCAACGCATGCATCGGGGAAGAAAAACTCCGTCAATGCACGTTTGGATTCTAATGACCTCCTCAGTAAGTTTAAAGCCTAGACAAAAAAAAAATAATACAATCTATAAAATTTCAACAATTGTAAATTAAACTAAATTTAAGTTATTTTTCTAGCATTCATAAATACGTTAATTACCTCTTCATTGCCAACATTTATAACCCTTTCCTCTAACATGCTTGCATCATTAATTTGCAACTTCTCAAGCACGGAGAAACCAGTCATCACAGAAATTGGCATCACCCATAAATTATCAGTAATAATAAAACCAGCTCTGTCATTAACAAAGACCCCACTCTTTTCTACTGTATCTTTTGGCCATCTCAAAGCCTTATCCATCAGTTTGCCACAACGGCTGCATTGAGCTTTAGTTACATAGGTACAATAACATGTTGATTGAGTTGAGCAATCACCTTCATTGCAAATGTATGAAGTTCTTGGGTTGGCCTCATGAATATTTTTAATTTTCAAATCCTCGCATATTTTTGCAGCAGCACTTCGAGGTTTGAGAAGCATTTCCTTGCATGCCTTGGTTTGCATGTGCTTGACGTCAAGCACATGCAAACCAAGGCATGCAAGGAAATGCTTCTCAAACCTCGAAGTGCTGCTGCAAAAATATGCGAGGATTTGAAAATTATAAATATTCATGAGGCCAACCCAAGAACTTCATACATTTGCAATGAAGGTGATTGCTCAACTCAATCAACATGTTATTGTACCTATGTAACTAAAGCTCAATGCAGCCGTTGTGGCAAACTGATGGATAAGGCTTTGAGATGGCCAAAAGATACAGTAGAAAAGAGTGGGGTCTTTGTTAATGACAGAGCTGGTTTTATTATTACTGATAATTTATGGGTGATGCCAATTTCTGTGATGACTGGTTTCTCCGTGCTTGAGAAGTTGCAAATTAATGATGCAAGCATGTTAGAGGAAAGGGTTATAAATGTTGGCAATGAAGAGGTAATTAACGTATTTATGAATGCTAGAAAAATAACTTAAATTTAGTTTAATTTACAATTGTTGAAATTTTATAGATTGTATTATTTTTTTTTGTCTAGGCTTTAAACTTACTGAGGAGGTCATTAGAATCCAAACGTGCATTGACGGAGTTTTTCTTCCCCGATGCATGCGTTGAACAAAGTGTGAAGTGCTTCCCAGTGATTAAAGAAGATATTGACGGCAACGAAGCAGAACATAAATTTAATGTGAAGATGATATTAAACAAGAAAAACAACAGTGTTTTATCTGCCGAAGTTGGGGGAGACTTCCTCAATCAGTTGTTGAGTTTTCTCGCATTTCCTTTAGGCTCTGTGATCGAACTACTCCGGGATCACATATCATCAGATTGGTGCATCAGCAATTTGTATTCCTCGGCAGAGAGCTTGGGCTTAGAATGGTTCAAGTCAAAAGAATGTAAAAACATGTTGGTGTTTCCACAACTTGCCTCCTACTATGGATGCGAAAAGCAAATGCTAAAATTGGTTGAAATGCCATCAGCTAAGTGGACCTGTTCGGCGAGCTGCATAAAGTGCTATGCGGATGGGTGGTATTGTTTTAAACCTACTCCGTGCAAGCATGGATTAAGGAAGGCAGAACTCATAGAACAAAATCCCAAGTTGCAAAACGGAGGGAGTGATTATGGTGGAAGTTTTGTGGAAGACTCAAAAAGGTTTATGATTGCTGATAACCT